AAAGAGAAATATAAGGCAGGGAGGACAAGGAACAAATCTTACCACAAAAAACACGCGCATCAACTGCTGGATATTTGATCATCAAAGCTTCGACGACTTTTTGCGCTGGATCATTCGCACTGTGTAAACAAAACAACAATTCATACTGAAAACAGAAACGCACTTGAACAAAAGTAACGACCAAGCTAGCAAGAGGCGCTTTAGATCCGTAGACGGATCGGAGGGGGAAGGGAGGGGGGAGGGTGAGGAAAAGAGGTGGGGGGCCTTTCAGGCACCAGTGTTGCAAAAGCCCGGGCCTAAAGCTAAAACTAAAGTAAACTAAAGCCTGAAGTAACTCTAAATAGCAGTGCTGCAACTCTGTTTTTAGTTTTTGCACAGCTCCAGGATCGGACCGGATCTCTTCCTTCCCACTCCCCATTGCCCCTACCCGCCCCAGGTGCTCCACTCTCCCCCTCCCGCTCCCAGAAGTCCGTCCTGATCTGCTTGTGTTTATATCGGAAAGAATGAACGAACAATAATCGGATTGGCTGTCCATTTGTTCGTATTCCTGGGCAAAAAAAAACCTAAATGTTCTTCAAGACCACTATGACTAAACTTAGCTACACCTCCTTCTGCCAGTAAAGGCCACTACGAAGAATCACAAGGCGGTAACTAATAGGTAACAGGCACGTTATGCAGCTTCGGTGGAAAAGCCAAAAATGCACTAAATGGGAGCAAAATGTGCCAGTGACGATTTTTCACGAAAATCCAACTAAACGAACACAATGGTATTTTAGCCTGAAGAAGCTTTCGAGATTGAAAAATAAATTTTCATCGGTGCCAACCAATGGCTTGATGATCGAAACACCCTCTGTATCGGTTCGCATCGTTACCGGTCGGTGCAAGCGATACTTCCTGAAAGTGTAATTTCTGCACAAAATGGCCAATCGAATCACTCTTCTTTTTATCAGCCCCAGAAAATACTGGTTCAGAAACCGGCGACTACTAGTGAAGCTATTTTTGCCCAGTATCTCCAGGATGAATTGGATTCTATCGGGACCAAGAAAGAGGGGACGTACTCGAAAAATACTAAATGTTAGGTTGGAAATAATGGCATCGATCGAATCCAGGTAGTGATATTGCAAAAGGAACAAGGTCTTAACGGCAAGGAAACGAAGCTGCCAGCTAAACCCCTTCGCCTCGAAACATATCGCTAAAACCCCGAAAGAGAAATACTGCCAGCAGAATTGTCAGCAGGTAACTCCTTCAGGAGATGAAACGAACGTCAGGATCGCCAGCAGGGTGGCTGTTAGAAAATGTAACACTGGACAGGGCAGCGGGGAAGATCGCCAGTTGCATGATTCGATGAGCAAACTATACGAATTATAGATGATCCTAGTATATGAAGCACACAAAAATATAAAATGCTTACGCATAGCAGATGGCTATGATATGAACGATGTAGAGGCCACAGACGAAGAGACATATGCCAATTGCAAAAGGCACGGCACAGCTCGAGACGACATCGCTGATCACTTGCGTGAATTGCATCTGATGCCATCTGCAAATGCGCACATCAACAATCACAAATTTTTTAATGCATAAGCGGCACACGATTTTCTAAAATTACAAACAACAAAATATATTACTTATCAAAAACAGCCTTTTCAATGAGCAATTTGTGAAACTGCTGAAATTAACTTCAAAATTCAACAAATGCTGCAAGGTCTAACTTCTCGACCCTAGAATCCTCCCGTCAAAAAAAGACTGATTTCAGACAGACTCCAATTCCTCAAGACGCAATCAATTTTGACGTCCCAATGATTAAAACAACAATTAAAGTTGTTTTTTTCTGACCGAAACGACTCTCCCTCCCTAGTCTTCTTCCCAATCCTCGTTAAGTTTCAACTGAGTGGGGAGGGGGGGAGGGGGTCAATTCTGATGGACAAAAAAGGGAATAGGGGTCTGTAAACTTCACTTGATGGCCAATTATATACATCTTACTTATGTTTAAAGTTCAATTAACTAAAGGAGGAAAAACTGGGGCAGTTGCCAAATTATACTAGCGCAAAAATACATCAGAAAATAATCATCACTGGAGAGAAAACATGCGACTTTTGAGTTACAGAGCTGAGCATTAGAAGGAAAAAAATCGGTACAGACGAACACTCAGACATACACACACACACACACACACACATACAGACAACCCCGTGACAATATGCGCCTTCGCATAGCACAGGTGTAAAAAAACGCATAAAAACAGTCTATAAAACTACAGTTGAAGATGGATATCACCTGACCCTGTGGTTCCAGGCACTTGTGGAGCCATCAACAACAGCAGCAACAACAAGACGAAGTACGAACAATCATAATGATATAAGTGTCAAATAACAATCAACTTCAGCTCTGCACACCTGAAACTTGTGACACGAATATAACAAAGCACCCAAATGAGCATCAATCCTCATTTTTGCGAGCTATGAAATTTCTCCTGCTCAACAGGCAAAGTTGCATTTCAGAAAGTAATCAGACATCACCATCAACACTGAAGGACGCGATACCGTCGGTAAAAAAATCCCCCTCCCTTCCTGTCAAAAAATTTCACAGTTCGCAAAAATTACGCCCCACAGTAACAACCAAAAACCCTCCTTATCTGTCGAAAAATTTTTCATTATTATTATTATTATTATTATTATTATTATTATTATTATTACTGCTTTTACTATTATCCAGCGCTTCTCAATCTACCGAAGTGAAATCCAAGTTTCAGAATATCTTTACAATAACAGCCAAAACGTTAGGTCTAGCCTGAGCTGCAAGTTTCTATTCACCATCCACAAAATACACGTACGTTATGTTGTCGAAAACCACATTTTTTTTCAGTGCGAACGTGTATTACTTACGAGAGTTGTATGGGACCGATACGCCAACGTACTGGGCATTGGAATGCAGAAATCAAAAATATCGATAAGAGCAATAATATTCGTGAAAATTTATTGCTTTAATCGTCGGATCAGGAAGAAAAATTTGCATTTTATGCATAAAAATTCTCATTAACTGACCACAGTTTCACAGTAACGATGTAGTTGGTGGAAAGATAGAAAGAATACAAAATAGTCTTCAAGATTTGCTATTCGCCATCAACTTCAGTATAATTTAAAAATGAAAAACTGAACAAGCAGAAGGAAAACAATGTTTGTTCTCCGCATTTCCTACTGGGATATCCCTTTATCCCCCCTCCCCTTCCCCTTTGACACTGTTAAGAGATTCATAAATACGCGTAGCTAAATTTGGAAAAGTCCAAATACTAAAGTAAAAACAAAAATTCGCGTGAAAAACGAATCGGATGAAAAAACCCACAGTTAAAAATATGAATCCGGAAAAGTTAATTTTTAAAACGGATTCGAAAAATCCTTAAAAAATCAGTCAAGTCAGGGAAAAATTTATCCTTCCATATTCATATTCCTTAAAAAAATTAGGATAACAACACAGCAACGAAGAAATAGAGGAAGGTGAAACAAAGTGGATGCTGCAAGCTGGGACTCAAAAAAAACCGTTAGAAGTGAGAAACGGCTTCGTTGAAGCGTACTAACAAAAAAGGGCGGATTTAAAAAAAAAAAAAAAAAGTGAATGCAAAGTCCCACAAGAACGAAAGAAAACATTCAGATTTTCTCACAGCCAAAAAATGCTCTCAATTTTTTTTTTGTGTCAAGGAAAATTCGAAAAGTTTTCGATCAGCGCAGTTTTTTTGGCACCACCGTTGAATCTATATTGTGCTCGATTTTTAAGTGCTATGCGCATCATTTTACGAGGATTGAAAAGAAACGAAAAAACATGCTATTAAAACGGGGGAATTAATAATAATAGTAATAATAATAATAATAGTAATAACAATAATAGTAGCAATAATAATAGTAATAGTAATAACAGCAATAATAATAATGATAATTGATAGTGATGATAATAATAATGACGAAAATAATCCCTTAATTTAACAAAAACGAACTTTTTGCAATTTTGCAGAAGCGCGTTTTTCTAGTAAATAGCACAAAGCACGTAAGTTACGAGGACAGAAACACAAAATTGTGCGCCAAAAAATACTGCAAATTTGTTACGAGGCGGGCAAATGACGTAAAATCCGACTTTTCCACTGGTAACACTCGTCCTTCGAAAAACTCCCGATGTATGCGAGCAGAAACACACGGATTTTTTTTCCCAAGCATCCCAGTGAGAAGACACAACACAAACCCAGCGAACGGCAATCGAAGAAAGAGTGATGTTTCAGGTCAAAAAAATTCGTGAAATTCAAACTACTCCCGACCGCGAGTGTTTCTGCTCGCAACGCCCATTGTTCCGGAGAACAGAAACAAACGAATCATCAAACAAAACGAACGCCCTTTGATAGCGAAATATCAAGAGACAATTGTAATAAAAAACAGAGAATATATACGGAGCTTTTTAGTGCAAACATCCACACACACCCACCACCATCAGATATGTCAACAAATGATATTTCCGCTGAGCAAACACAGAACGACGGAGCACGAGCGATGGATGAAAGGGGGAAGGAATGAGGCAAGTCATCCGGTTTCTCCAGGATCACGTTTTTAAGTGCCATTCAGCAGCAGCAGCAACCTATGTATTTGCAAGGAATTTAAATGGCATCTAACATGAATAATATTTACTCATAAAAGACCGAACTCCCATGGCTGCAGGAATTATGGCTTATTTTAGGCCAAGAAATGGATAATCCAAGAAGACGAACAATTAGTGAAAATTTTACATTGCTATTACCGACCACAGGCAGATCCAAGGAGAGGGGGCGAGGGGTACAAGCACCAAAATAAAACTAAAGTAACTTTAAGCAGCAGTGTTAAACTCTATTCCTAGTTTTTGCATAGTTTCGGAGTGGCAGGGGCTCTCCCCCCACCCCCTCGTCGCTCTCCCAGGAGTCCGTCCTGAATTTGCCTGTGATACCGACCTGCCAGCAGGGTGATCTTCGGACCCTCTAATCCTTATCCTCCGTCCGTCCAATTCGCCACCAAGGAAGCATGCGGGTACAGGATTAGAGCAAAGAGGATTACAACATCCCGAAAACAAACAAGCGAACGGATACCTATCTCAATAGCACAATCAAATAAGAGCTTAAGGAAAAATAAAATGCATAAAGGACTTTCTTCAAAAACATATGCATACACAGTTTAAGGAAAAACAATATGCACATATACAAAGTAGAAACATACATTTTCGTATAAATCACCTTTTTTTCCCCTCTTCTCCCTCCCCAGAGGTACGATTCAATCAGCGGAATTTGTAGCTCATCCTAGCAACCTGGCAGAGAAATCAGCTGCCCAAGCGGCGAATCCTTGACTGTTAGGATTACTCAGCAGGGCGATGAAGCCATGCAATCACAGAATAGCTAGCAAGTAGTTGCTAGGTAGCTGCTCAATAGGCTAATCTGCGATCACAAAGCATGATTAACGAGGGCTGATAATCGGTTCATTGAGCATCGTGAGTAATTATAACAACTTTCCCCTCTATGCTTTTTTTTTTCAGGTAACTCTTCCCGAGGGCTTTCCCAAGGATTACAGGATCTGGAAAAAAAAAAAAATGCCGTAGCCGCGTACTCAATTCCAAAAAACTCCAGCCATTCCTGCTCACAATAGATAACGTTTTGGTTCCAGAAAGCACAGCTCATATTTCGACCTCCTCCCCTAATCTGGTCTCCTCCTCTCCTGCCCCACCCCTCTGGACTCACCGTCTCTCGTCCTGCTGCTTAAGGGCAATTTTTTCATCTTTTTAAAATCAAATTTAGCAAATTTGCAAATATTAAATTGCTTTTAGCATAGTGAAACGTTTCAAAGCTTTGTTAGCTGAATTTTGCCCTCTTTTCGTGAAATTCTACTTGCCTCTTGCCAGATTCTACGATTATCCATCTTAGGTCCACATATTTTGACTCAATTTTTCTCAATATTTTTCCTCATATACACACATCCATACCAAGATGGAAAAGGGCATTACCTCCTAATGCTACTGCGGTGCAACAGCGCATACGTGTCATTAAAGAGCAGCGCCTCTCCCTTGAGAGGTGCTAGGAATTTACATCTCTTCCCCCTACTTCTGCGATGTTTGGGGCACTGATAAGAAACAGTGTGCATGAAACTGCCCACATTTCTTATCAGTGCTTTAATGTCGTTAAAAAAACTCTCCTACATCAACAGTAGTAGTAGTAAGAAAGTAAAAAGCAAACAACCGTAGATGGTTCAGCTGGGCAACGCAGTGCAATTCATTTGAAAATCGTAAGAGGAAATTGTTTATAAATCTAAAAATTCCCCGCCCCCCCCCCTCTACCCCACATCCCGTTTGGTAATGCAATATTTCTGTGAAACTGTAAACAGAAAATTCCTTTCTCCCCTCCCCTCGCAAAACCCTTTGGTAATGCAACACTTTTATTTCGAAACTTTTAGCGATTACGTCAAAATAGTTTCATTCTTTTGGTATTTACATTCTTAAAATATTTTTAAAATTTCTTAAAAATATCTTTTAAAATCATTCCCTCAATGTTTTTTTTTATAAAAACAAAAGTTGCAGACAAAACTTTTGGAATCTCTAAACATGTCAATTTACATATCCTCGCTGGCTGTTAGCAAACAGCTAACATCTGGGATATCTTCGCTTCCACAGAGTCTAATCTAGGAATATGGTTTAGGCTCTGGCCTTCAGCAGATCAGTGATATTCGCCGTGCTATAAAAGCCTCATCAGTGGTATACATCGTGCCATAGAGGTTTCACTAATCGTTCACCAAAAACGCCAAGAATTTAGTAGTGGAGTCTGCTGACATGTCAGAAAAATATGCTCCTTTCCTCATCGATCCTAATTTCACAAAAAAGGTTTCCAGGATACGCAAGGATATCTCAAAGATAACTCAGAGAAAAGGCGTAAAAATATCACTATCACAAGAATATAAATGCTAAGAATACTGTTCAAAATAATAATAATAAAATCACAGTAGCTCAGAAAACTTTGGACAATTAGTCACATGCAAAAAAAAATAAAAAATGATAATATCACAAATTCAAAGGTAGCATAAATTGGTAATATCAATTATGCAATGCGATGAATTCGAAATTAACCACCCAATGAATTAGATAACAATACCCTCGTAACTCACATCGTGCTCCTTGCTCTCCATAACATTTCTGATATGTGCTATTGTTAACTGAAAATAAGAAAAACGCCATCATTTTTTGTTTTTATTAGCATTCATCAGCTATCCACTCGATCTTACGATGGTAAAATGTTACGCACATATGTTGGGTTGCTTTTAAGCAATCCTCGAAAGCGGGCACCATCGATTGTCCTGTCCTGCGGATGGCACTGTATGTTGGAGCTTCTACAGTTATGCAGTTCGAATTTACTTGACTTTGTTAAAATAGCATATTAATCAAAACCCGGCTACCGTTCGAAATTGAATAAAACAGAGTGTCCCTATATTATCTATTCTTTTCGTGGCCTCCCTCAAGGTAGTCTTTCATAAGCTGATATGAAAAAAAAAATGTTTTAAATATCAGCAGCTAATACATTAATAGGGAAGGTTTATGTAAAAACAAAAAAAAAAAAAAACTATTTTAAGCTATTAAAAGCAAAAAATTACGTTGAAATATGTCGTGATTTGTTCGGCTTCATTTGAGGGCTCCAACTGTATCACCGATTCTCGAATCCTAGCGGTTACCTGATTCAGCATATCAATTGTGATCTGGAAAAAGTAGTAGAAACTAACTAGCAAAAAAATCTTGTAACAACTGAAGATTTCTAGGATCTAATAATTAAAATGCATAAATCTCATTCCAAAATCACGATTAAATCTAGCTATTCATCACGATAGTAATCTAAATCAAGTATATTAAGATCATTTGGGTAATCAGTGTGGATGTCTCATGTTTGTGACGGTACAGGAACGCTCCTGGTCGTCAAATGCAGCAGTCATGTTTCGTTCCTGCGTTGCATATCTTTAGTTTGTCACATAATGACCTATTGTTTTTGTTAAAAATTTTGTAAGGAGCTATTGCCATCACTATGACACATTACCCTCGTCCTCTATTCAATCTTTGGTCACTCCACCTCCTTTAGAGTTATGCAGTCTTTGTGGTCTGTGGCCACCAGGGTATAAAAGCATTCCTCCACATCTCCAGCATCCAGGGTAGCTGTCTCTTCACACCACCCTGTGCTGGGAAGCTTCGGTTCCCCAGAACCTCGCCACATTTTATTTATTACTCTCCTCTCGTATTTCAAGTACTTTGTATAACTGTAGTTTATTGTATATAATTATGAATATATAGCTATACCCAGGTACTGACCAGCATACACACTCCACATATACGTAGGGCATGTACGCTAGTCTAACTCATAAGCTTTTAAGGTTGCAACAAGTTCATACTCACTATTTCTATTTAATGTGCATCACCAGTTTATGATTACGTTAATTTTAAAAACAGCAGAAAATTAAAATGTAATCAGGTACCCGATCACATCCAGCTTCGTAAAAATAAAGGTAGTGATTGAAAACAGTGATGTAATGATGGACTTGAACAATCGGATCCATGCATTGTGAAGCAACTCGCAGCGCTTTTTTTAAGCAACTCAACACCTGCAACGGCAAACAATATTTACGCTCGAACGCTAATCGACGGTGTGGTTCTCGAGCTATGCAACTGAGAAAATTACTAGCCGCATCGACAAAGAACCAGCTTCAGCTCTGTCTGAGCAAGACTGGAAATCACACATGTCGATTTCGTTACAGGAAAAAAGCGTTTGAAAGTGGCAGTGTGTGATAAAACGTGTGGAAAAACAGTAAAGTCGGTAGGGACGAAAAAAAATGAATCTCGCCTTGCAGAAACTAATTTATAAAATCTGACCTGTTCGGAATCCCGCATCGGTGACTGCCTTTCCGCTGTGCGACCATCCCAAAATAAGTACGCCTAAAATTTTCTTTCCTGCACAGCAGTCATGAACGCAAAAGCACAATATCCAAGCTTGGTACTGTTTCAGAAAAGATTCCCGCTCTGCCTCCCCCCCCCTCCAGGCTACTTATACCAAGTTCAATATTTTCAAAAATTTCTCAGTTCTTGCATATTCCCTCAGATGACCATCCTCACGGAGATGTGAAGACGAATTAAAAACAGATGGGCTGAACCAAGCACACAAGCTTCGCAAGAAATAGAGATGGAGTGGCAGAAGTCAAAAATTACTTACCACACAACAAACCGCTAAACACTGATCCGCTTTTTTGAAAAGCTTTGCAGATGCATGGGCGCACTGTGTACGAAGGGGCTCGTGATTCTCATCCGTGAAACAGCTCACTCTTTGAAGTGTACCTGAAATTATAAAAAAAACAGCGTATCTGGTGGTGCCATGTGCTCAAAACTCTTACTTATTATGAGTTGAGGTGTGTCAAGCCTAAAAGCGGTCTTCATGAGCTGCCGACGATACGCAGTGGAATAAGATGATATCAAAAATAACGTTACTTTTGTGCTTGTGAAAATTTGAATCTTATTTAATTGACAGTTCCAAACTGACAGCTCAAAAGATATTGTAAATTCTAAAATCATTTAAAATCACTGAAAAATTGACATTTTAAAATCTAAACGTACTGAAACTATTCAAAAACTCGATGAAAGGTCCGCTAACACAAAAAGAGATGCGACGAAGTTAACCTCATTTTCACAGGTTAAATATTGTGAAGAAAAACGAGATTGCCCAGTTGAATAGGCATAAAAAAAACGAAATATATACCTATTAATAAAGATATTGCAGCTAACTGTGCACGACTGTCGCCAATTTCTTCTTCATAAATCGAAAAAGCCTATTTGAAAAAAGAATCGCTTTATAACAAAATCAGAAAAAAAAAGCAAAAAAAAAAAATAAAAATTATGCTCTAAACTGCAAAACAGTGCACTGATAGAAGTGGCGCACATATATCGAACAGGTAGTAGATACCAACTGGAGGTATGCAGGACAGGATCAAAGAGCCTCCCATGGCTAAATCAGGTGCTTGAGGGATTCCAGAAAAATCGCTAGCGTAGGAAACTCATACTGATTGCACGAGCGGATCTTAGTATTCCCAGTATATATGTAAATGATAAATGAACGAAAAGACTTTCGAATAGCGCCCAGACGGTATTAAGCAAACACTATGAACGGAAGTAGGCGCTGAGGATGAGGGATTCACCAAAATGTATGTATCGAACTACAGCAAATTTAAAAGTATTAAATTTTTAAACGAAATTTTATCTACGCCTGTACAACTAGTAATAAAAACGCCAGCCACTCACTGTGCACCATCCATCGCTTATCAGAAGTTATTTCGGATGAATGAGAAAAAAAAAGACAAACCTTTGAAAAGAATTCATATGCGACAGTAGCACGGTTCTCAAATTTGACTTGATCAGCAATCAGTACACCCTGAAAAGCTTAATTTTTTATTAAAATAAGGCACTGTTAGTAAGCAAGTAGCCGACTAGAAATCCTGACAACTGCCCCAGGCATACCAGGCAAACTACAGTTGAAATCGATCTCGGTATAAATGTAAGTTTTCGACGCACAAAATATCAAGCATAGCTACCCAGAGCATTCTATCCTGGAGTTGCATGGCTTTCGCTAATCCCTACCATATACGCGTAGCATCTCTTTCATTTCCATGTAACCAGTTAATCTTCCATTACCACAAAAGCACAGCAACGCAACAAATTATCAATGGAGTTAAAGAAATCACTAACAAATCGTGATTGAAATCATTAAGAAACCGTAATTTGAGACTATCGAAGATGCTCGGACATCATGAATTTTGAGACTGTCTGATACTGACGATCAGTCCTGGACTAAAGTTTTTTGTTATCATCGACCACTTTAAAAGTTAATTAAAAAATTATAATTTTAAGCAGCGACCGCCGAAAAATCATGATTTTACAATTTTATATTTGGGCTCCCCCACCAAACGACAGACAATTTCACGAAATGCGACCAAAAGAATTTTATCTCAATTTAGTGAAAAATTCAACCGGGTAAACGGCACCAGAAGAAGAGTAAAGCTCATACATCCCGCAAATTCCTAAAAATGTACTTAATCATTAGCAAAGAAATGGAAGAAAAATGAATGCGGTACAACAAAAAATTGAAAGTTCGATTTAACCGGCAGGTGCTGTTGATGGGAAAAAGCAAATGCCAATGTGCAAAATAAGAAAAATGCAAAAAAAAACACCTGCAGGTATAGTCGTAAGGGTATTTGTGAGAGCTCAGCTATTGAAACCAATGCGTCGACCGTTTGCATACAAAAAACAAACATTTTTTGCAGTTTTGCATCCCGTTTTTCCTGCAATTATAAACAATATTGTATATAAAGAAAGTAATAATTGCGAGATTTCTTCCTGAAAAGTATTCTTGTGAATGCAAAGGCGTGGTGCCGCACAAAATACACCAGAAATATTTGAAAAAGAACCAGGAACTTGTCAAATGCTTCTGTCAGGTGAAACGCTGAGACAGTATTCCCTTCAGGGAAAGGTAACGACGCCACCATCTACAGCAGGTTAACCTGTCAGAATCATCAGCAGTAGATGATAGAGAATTCATTAAATCAACTGCAAAAATCGTCAGTTTTATAGCTAAAGGACCAGAATTACAGCTGTCCCTCGTTGTGAATGCGTGGAAAAGGCGTACGTAAGAAATCACGTGTATTCATTGTTTTCCAGCGCGACAACACCAACAGCAGTTCATTTGGGGCGGATCCTATGCCTAAACCAAGTTTCGATCTGCCTAGCGCTACAGCTTAGAAAATTTTAAAGACACCCGTAGCGAATTGGCGATTTCGCTTATCGAACAAGCTGTGAAGCTGAAATTTTGCAACCAAATTTCCTATAATGAAAAAGCGTGTTCGCTCAGATACGACTAAACGTAACAGTAGTAGCAGTACGGCTGTCAAATTCCAGAAGCACACCAATTTGATCATGTCGACCGCTCGCAGTGTAGCTATGCTAACGAGAATCAATTACAACCAAATGAATCACTGATCGATGTGAATGAGAGAGCATACTACTGCTTAACCATGCAGTCATTCACGCGCTAATGCGCGATCCATATAACCAGTCTTAATCACAAGTGGATCCAGAGGAGGGGATGATGAGTCTTTCGCCCAACCTTCTCCTCACCTCTCCTCCCCTCCCCCCACCCCAGCGGCACGGAGAGCAGTGCTAAAACCGTAGAAAACTCTCTTCCGCACTCCCGGTCATCGCCCGACCGGTAAACCTACTCTCCCACCTCCTCCCCCTCTCCCTGCTCGTCACCCTCTCCCTCGCCCCAAGAGGTCGCCCTGGACGCGTCCCTTATCATAATCTGAACGGTGCTATCTCCAAAAACCAGTTTTTAGCTGGAGCAGGGCGGA